GCTTATAAGGTGGCACTACGAGAAGAATGGAACCACTACATGATGATGACAGCAGGAGACAATCTTTCTAAAACTGGTCGACTGAAGAAGCCATCAATTGGAGAAGTTTCTGGGTTGGTAAAGAATGCTTTGGACAGTGTGAAGATCGAGATCATTGTCAAAGCCTTTAAAAAATGTGGAATCTCTAATTCTCTTGATGGTTCAGAAGATCATTTGATATATGAAGATGGCGATGAAGATGATACAGAGGAGGAAGAGCTGTTAGCTAAATTCGATGCCAGTGATATTGAAGAAGACGAGGAATGTGAGGGGGTTGTCACTATACCTGATACACCAGACAGTGATGATAAGTGTATGAGCGATTATTATGAGTCTTGAATTTTGTTTGTTTGTAACTTTTCTTTCTTTGTATTTGTTTCACTGATAAAATATTTTTTCAAAACTTCAGTCAAAAAATTGGGGGGTGGCTTATACATGGGGAAATACGGTACATGTTTGCATCATCGACAACCCTATCGAAATGTTATTTGGGCTAGACATGGCCTTCCTTGAAATTAACCTATGCCTGGTGGCCCATAAACACACATGTCTGTCCGGTGAAGTAGTAACATACTGTCACATACCTGCAAAGCCCATCCTTTTGAGGATGCTGATGAGACAGATGAAATACCCTTTCGGCAATAAAAAGCTAAATAAAATTGATGTCGTTATGTGAAAAACTCCATTATCAGTCCTTAACACACTCTAAGCGGGTTAGTCCGACTAAGCTCTCCGCCAAAGGATAGGCAGACGAACAGCAAAAATCTGCCAAAATCATACCCATGTATGCAATAAAAACAAACAAGCACTCCTTGATATTATGTCCTTACATCATACCGACAGTGAATCGGCTTATTTTGCACCGGAACTAAGCTGAAGATCGGGTAGAGCCTCAAGGTTTGATGCCCAGTTGCAAACGCCAGGGCCAATTGTCAGTACCTGGCACATCAAGCGACCGATGCTGCATCTCAAGAAAAGATATATTGTTTAATGACGTCAATAGAAAAAGCTTGTCCAGAATGCTGAATTTCTCCAAACCTCAGAACACTTTGGGGTCGGAGTTGGTGGCTATTCTCTTTTGAATCCTTAAAACCTAGTTTCGAAACCCACAACGGGTAGTAATGAGATCCGAATGAAGTGAAACGATACAGTTTAATCACATGCAACCAATACTTGTGGGCAAAAGTAAACCAGTGTCGATACATGAATGAAGTAAAGGCCATGTAATGCAGTGAAATGCATAAGACCATGCATCCCACAAGGCTGTTGGCAGTCAATCTGCGCCTCATACGCAGCCATAGCGGGATTCGAATTATGAATGTGTCGGTTCAAAAGCAAACGCGTAAGCCTCCCAAGCAAGACACCTTGAGTTCCATTCAGCTAAATGGTAGGTATGACCTTTGGTATGGCAAACGAGTTTTGTTTCATTCTGAGTAGATTTTGTTTCACACCTACCAGGAGCCTGACTATGATGGATGTGTGTAAAATCGGAAGGATTGCGACTCCGCTCAATTATCAAGTTTAACAGCAGAAAAAAGGTCGGCTATAGATTTTAAAATTCCCGATTAAATGAAATGAGTTAAGCGAAACTT